ACCAAATAATTTCTGGCTCCAGAGCTATTTCAGTTCCTTTGGGACCTTTTGCAATCTCAAGAATGTCACCCACTTTAAGAAATTCTCTGCTGACATCATCTGCGCCAAACGTTTCAAGGTCGAGAAGAAGCTCGACTTTTTTATGCTCCTTTTTTCCATTAAACATGCAGGTTTTATTCACCAAAATCCATGCTTCCCGGTTTGTCTTTCGGATAACAACACCCTCTACCTTGAAATCATCCTGCCCAAAAATATTAACAAGAGAAGTTCCGCTTTCACTTTCCTTGCGTTTATCTGCAGCCTCTTCTGCGTATGTATAACCTTCAAGCTCGCGAAAAAACTGTGGTATCGTTTTATGGGTCAATTTGAAGTTTTCCGACTTCTTCTTGTCAATGAACACCTTCAGTAACGCCTTTCGATATCTGTATGTGTCATGGTAAGTTTCAAGTTTGTAACAAGAGCTATCTTTGATAGTATTTTTCCCTCTTGTAGCTACTTTCACCCCAGTTAAGAATTCCTCGTAACGCTTCCGGTAATCTTTCTGGAGCAATCCATCTTCGCAAAATCTATCGATATCTTCATTCGCCATATTTTCCATGAAGGTATGATACCTTTATGGAAAACTTCCCACTGAGGTTGTCCACAAGTTGTAACCTGAGGGAGGGGGATGTTGGAGAGCGCTCAAGTCTTCACTAAGTATCACGCGGAAGTGTTGATCTGGGTGAGTATAACTTGTATCCGCATTTAGTTAATCTTCTTGTCTCGGCTCAGGAAAGTGGGTTCTGGGACCCAAAACAGAGAAGAAGAGAAGAAAGAAGATGTTGTGCACTTGAAAACTTAGTCTTCCCCTGTTAGGAAATATCTCTTCAATATATAATTGTGTTTTTCCCGGAAAGACTGGGCGTCAAGTCAGAGGTCAATTTCGACGAATCGCTATCCTTTAGCTTCTCAGTCGTTTGTTTAAGAACAGGACATACATCCTTTTCCTCGTAACTTTGCCGTAGGTCGATGAATCAAAGCGTCAAGAAACACGTTCCTCTTAGGATCATTAAGCACCTGCCAGTATGACCACGTAAAGACCCCTGGAGCTTGCTTCGCGTTCCTTCTAGATTTGAGGTAATGTTCTTGCTATTATTAGAGAGCGTGTTTACAGAGTGAGCTATCCAACCTAAGTTCGTGTGATGCGAAGGGTTTGTAAGTCTTTTCTTTGGTATGTATGTTTAAAAAAGACATAATCGTCATGAAACAGCCTAATTGTGAACA